TTACTTGCTACCTGTATGAGCTTAGGAAAATCACGCTGCCTCTCTGAGCCTGCATCCTCAGTGAAGAGGGAGTTGAACTGGAAGATCTTTAAAAGCATTTCTAGCCTTAATTCAGTCTTATCTGAGCTTTTCATCTTCATTAGTTCTTTGCACAGTACTTTGAACATCATAGGTGTTTAACAAATGTTTGTTAAATTCAATTGAAGGGGGCTTTAGAGATTATCATATTCAAATTTCTCAAATTTATGCAAGAAACTGAGGCAGAGACAGGTTAAATGGTTTGTCTGAGGTCATGTAGCAAGTAGAGGGAAAAGCTAGTTAAAGAAGGAGGCAACTCCGTCATCAGAGGGTGGGAAAAGCACTGCCCCTGGAGTCAAAGGACTTGGGTTCAAATTCTCACTCTTCTCCTTGTTAGCTCTATGACCTAGTGCAAGTTAATTAACTTTTCCGGGCCTTGCTGCCCTACTTATAAATTGATAGGAGTTCAACTGTTGTTCAGTCGTTTCATTTGTGACCACTCTTTGTTATGCCATTTGGGGTTTTCTTGTCAAAGATACTGGAGTGGTTTGCCATTTCCTTCTCCAGTTTGTTTTACAGATGAGGAAACTGAGGCAAACAGGGTTAAGTGACAGAGACCAGATTTGAACTCAGGAAGATGAGTTTTCCTAACTCCAGGCCTGGTGCTCTGTTCACTAAGGCGCCTCCTAGCTGCCCAGAGGTGCATTGAAGAAGGAGTTAAAGTAGCCTCTAGCTCTTTAGACCTATGATTGGATGCTTTTTCACTGTGAATCTTCTCTTAAAGTTCAGGGTAGATTTAGGGCTGGAAGGGACCTTCAAGGCCATCTAATTCGACCCTTTCATTTGACAGATGGGAAACTGAAGCCTAGAAAAGATGATTTGCCCAAGGTCCAGAATTTGAACCTAGTTCTTCTCATTTCCTCTGATGCCAAATGCAGTACTCTTTCCATTATACTTTGCTGTTTACTAATAATCACCCACTAATTTGTATATTTTTAAATTTTAAACCAAGAATATTAAGCTTGGATTTGCTTAAAGCCAGTCAAAATTGGATTTCAATGAAGCACAGAACTTGTAACACATAATAAAGTGATAATCTTGAGGCCAGGATTATTTGTTTCTACAGGAGCTAATACCAAAAGCTGTTTTCCTTTCTTCTCCTGCTAGATAAGATGAGACAGAGTTCGAGAGCATGATGAGCTTTGGCCTTGGTATCACAACCCTGGCAACCATAATGCCAGCAGGGATGTTGACTTTTTAATACTAGGACAGATACTACGCGTTCTAGGGTTTCCCACCTCTTCTGTCCTTATTCGCTTGGCCTCTCAGTAAATCTTCCCACGCCCCCTTTTCAGCATGAAATAAAATAAATTTTAGTGCTTGCTATGCATATGCACATAAGAAATAAAATAGATTAATTTATTTTAATAGGACAATATAGTTTGTTAGTTAGTTTTTTTTTTTAACGAATCTTGTCCACAACATCCTGACAAGCTACTCTTGCCCTCCAGATGTACGTGTACCCCAGATTGGGAACCTCTAGCCTATTCATTTCACATAAGACAATTTGTGCTACATTCTTCCAGAATTCCAACCCAGAAAGTTGGGAATTGAAAGGTTTGCATTTTAGTACTGATTTTCTGAGTCATCTTCTCCTTACATACATTTCAGTGAGAAGAAGAGGCTAAAAATCATGCAAATTCCTGCTCCTCTGGAGTACGAGCTTTTCTACCAAGGCTACATTAACTTGGAGACTTTGACAAAGAATGGTCTGTGCCCTAAAATAGGATGTGGTGAAGGCATCTTAGGCAGAGACTCTATTTCTCCCTGAATGTTGACATTACAGCTTCCAATGTAAACCCTCCAACTGGATACATGACAGTGTTAGCAAAAGAGCTAGTTGGAGAAATGACCTCTGGCCATCCATCCTTGTGTACTGTACCTCTTAAGGAAAATGGCGAGCAGTATAACTCCTGTGTGAATGATGTAAAGATGCCTACCCTTTTTAATGTGTTTGTTTGTTTAATTTTCAAAATGGACAATATGTGGGAAAGACACAGTCAAACATTAGTCTCATCGTAAAATTACAAAACTATTTAACTTGATTTCCCAAATCCAACACTAGCATAATTTCTACTCAGCCTGGCTTTGGTGGAATTTATATTTTCTAATTCTGTTTTCCCTATTGGTCTACATTTTGTTATTTTTAAAAACTCATTTTCCCATCTGCTGAGCTATGGCTAGTAGCCAATTTTGATGCCTGTCATTGAAACAGCAAGGATATGTAGTAATGAGCTGCTTCCCTAACAAAGACCTTGATTACGTCTCTCCTCCTGGCTTGAGCTAGGTACTTCTGGTCACTCTGACATTTGATTTCAGGACAAGAACACTTGCTTCCTTTTTGGTCTAATGACCTCTCACTCCACATTATTTGACAGTAAGGATGAAAATGCTACCTATCACATCCCTTATCCCATTTTTTTGATGCAAAAAGATATGTGGCCAGAGGAAGTCATATTAATCATGTCAGTAACAAAGAACTTTAAAAAATAATCAAATTAATAAGGCCTCAAAATAAGAATAACAGCTTATGAGGAGGAAGGGTGGGAATCATCCTTAGTAAAGTTCAGGGCGTTTGGGGCAGGTCAAAGATGTCAAAGAGGTAACGGAAAATGTATGGGGCTGGGAGTCGGGAGACTTCCATTCTAGTTTCCAACACGCCACAAACTAGATTGGTGACCTTGGTCAGGTCCTTCCCTAATCCTCAGTTTCTTCATTCATAAAACAAGAGGACTTAGACCACTGAAAGATTTCTAAGCTCCCATCCAGCTGTAAAATTCTGTGGTTATCAACAGAGCTGGGGAAAATTAAGAAGGTTACTATGTTTAATAGTCTATGGTTTTATTCTCCTAGAGCAGGGGTGGGGAACCTGGGCCCACGAGGCCATACGTGTCCCTCTAGGTCCTCAAGTGCAGCCCTTTGACTGAATTCAAACTTCACAGAACAAATCTTCTGCACCCAAGGACCTAAAAGGCCACTTGTGTCCTCAAGGCAAAGATTCCCTAATTTTGGTTATTAAATAAATAGGCTCTAGAATTAAAGATTTCAGCCATCCAGCTCAAGTACAAATTCTGTTTGTGGTTCTTACTGCTTGAGTTCTCTTGGATGAGTCACTTAACCTTCTGGGGTTTCAGTTTCTTCATCTATAAAATATTGGGGTTAGACCAGATGGCCTACAAGGATCCTTCAAGATCTGATACTACGTTTCTGGGAGGCAGTATGGTAGAATGGATAGAACAGGGAGCTCAAACTCAGAGAAACTTGGGTTGAAGACACTAGCTGTGTAACCCCGGGCAAGTCACTTTGCCTCTCTCAGCCTGAGTGTCCTTATCTACAAAATAGAGATAATTTTTAAAAACTACTTTACCAAGTTGTTGTGAGAATCAAATGAGATAATTTATGTAATTTTTCTTGCAAACCTTAAAGTGTTATATAATCTTTACCTATTATTAACATTTCTCTGTGATCTTGTGATGTGATCTTTTCTTATCTTGGAAGGGCAGTGGATACAATGTAAAGAATGTTGAAACTGGATTAAGGTGAGACTTAGGTTTAAATCCTGACTCTAATCCCTATGAGGCAGAGTTCCTCCATGGGTGAAATTCGTTAATTTGTCAACCTCAGTTTACTTGTTTGGAAAATGGGCATGAGAACATCTATTTCATAGGATTTATGATGAGAATCATACAAGATAACATATGAAAAGTACTTTGCAAACCTTGAAACACTCTAGGCTGTAAATGACAGCTGTTATTATTATTCCTGAGCTTCATTTTAAAAAAATTATCAGTTCTAAGATCTTATGACTTGCTCCTTAGTCTAAGTTCTGATCAATTAGCCTCAATTAATGAAATTAACTCTGAACTTGGAACCATAGAAAAACTGAGGTCCAGTCCTGACTCCACACTTACTAGCTGTATGTCTTTGGGCTATGCACTTAAACTTTCTGAATCTTAGTTTTCCCATATTTCAAATGGAAATATAATACTTCCACCACCTCACAGGCTGTTGAAAGGATCAAATGAAATGAAGTACAACAAAGGTCATTGTCTTTGTCATCATGGTCACTACTGGACATTAAGTAGCTTGCAGTTAAGACTCTGAAGGAAAATGCAGATTAAATAACATTTTTGAAATTTTTACTAAAAACCCATACTAAAGCATGTCGTTTTCAGTTTCTTTTTCTCCTGCTTTATAGCTGCAGTGAACAGATATCTAAAGTCTCTTTTCTTAAAGAGCGAGATATTTCACCTGTATCAGTGACTTTTTCTTGCCCTCATAATCTCTGCTGTTTCATTTTTCCTGTTCTGAAGGGGGGAGAGTGGAGGATTTCCTATGACTTTTGTGTTGAATAAACGAGCCAAAACAATCCATAAGAGAGTAATGACTTTTATTAACGAACAGAATTCCCGAAGTAGGAAATTATGATTACCATTGACCTCTGAAAATGGCATTGTTGCTTTTCACTCTGCCCCTTTAATGAGCTTATTTTGATAGAAACTAAAACCAGACGAGGTTAGTGACGCCCCATGGATACTTGTCTGCCTAATATCCCAGTGATACATAAAAGCAACTGCCACAGAGTTCTGAAATCTTTTTCTGAAATCCATGGATAGGTAGTTCTGATTAGATATGAGGGTCGATTCCTTAGGGCCCCAAGGGTAGGCCATTGGTTGCACTTTTTTGAGGTCAAAGAAGAACAGGATGTCAAGATTTTGAAAGAAGTTATCATTCTTAGAAAAGAGAAATTTATTGCAAAGGATAGGGCCAGAAGGGAAAATAAATGAAAAGGTAAAAAATGCCCATCTGTATATAAAACTAAAGCATAACAAAGAAACTGTTAATACAGTCAGCTAAGGGATCTAACAGAAGTAAACTTGAATTTGGGAAAAAGGAACTATATATTTATTCCTCCATTAAAGTTCACAGAGATCACCTTGGTTTCTCAAAACACAAGGTGTGACACGTCCTAAGAAGCAGCAAGGCTACAAGTTGGCATCTATCACCTGGAGGACCAACCTATGTTAATATTGAGATGCCCAAGGTGAGAAAGGTGGCTCCTAGGCAAGAAGTTCATTTGACCAAAGAAGCTGCCAAGTAATCTACTAAGACTTGGAGGGTACATGGACTACATTGGTGAAGGGAGTAAACACAGTAATGAAATAATGGTACGTTGGAATTTTTTAAGTACTTATGAAAGGCTTTCTGGAATTCTAATGAATTTATTTTTTCACTTTTTTCACTTTCCAAAACAAATCGGTTGGCAAAGAAAGCTGATATTAGGATTAATTAACAACTATTAATTATAGATTATTTAACTTATTTCATTGCATTGGAGAGCTATTTATTTATTTATTGTAATAAACCTCATTTGATTAGGTGACAAAGACCTAGAGTCTCTATATCCAAAGAGACAAATTGCATTTTTTTTAATGCTGTGATTAAACCAGATTCATCTGCTATCTAGACTGTTTTTTGAGATCTGGAAACTAAGGTAGCTCTTTGAAGCCCTGTAAGAGGAACTTGAATCTATAATGGTAACTAGTCTGTAACCAACTGCACGCTCCTAACTGTATGAGCTGAGCTATAGTTTAATTGAAATCTTGATTATTGGCATCATTTCTGATCCATCACAGAGATCATAGGTAAGAGTAAGACTTTCCAAGTATATTAAGTGATGTACTCAACCCTTTGAGCCTAACTAGTGCTACTAGATTAAATGCAATGAACATACCCACACGATGGATTGCTTTGATCTTGATGACCATGGCAGTTTAAATTAGTTACAATCCAGCTTTTAAATACAATTCCACAGTTTAGTCATTTTCCTGATCGGTACAAATGAAAAGAGCAAAAAAGCAGCAGCATCAGGCTTGGCTTATTGATCTAGTCTGGCTTAGATTTCCATCTGAGTGAGGAGACTGAGCGTTCTCATGCTTTCTCATAGATTCTAGTGCAAACAACCCCTTTCATCTTGCATTCCTAGAAGAAAAGAGATAGAGTGAGTCTCCAAAATCCAGACCAAATCACAGACTGTTAATAGTCAAATATAGGTATTTTTAAAACCTAGGTTCAAATTTAAATGTCAATAAAGGGTCATTATGTCTGAAATCAATCATTTAGACTTTTAAAATCTTTGGATGAGTTGAAATTTACCTTTGATTCATTTATTCAATCAATAAATATTTATTGAGCCTCTACTTTATGTAAAATACCATGTTTGATGCCCTGGGTCATACAAATATGAAAAAAAGTTCCTTGCAGGGAGTTTTAAGTCTAGTAGAAAACATAAAACAACAAAATTATCAACAAGAGACAGTAGAATGTGGTAATTGCCATAAAGGAGGTATGAAAAATGCTGTAGGAGTTCAGAAGCAGCAGGATAAAGTAGTAAAATGCTGGATTTGAAGTCAAAGCATCTGGGTTTAAATCCAAGCTCCATTACTTCCGTTATACTGCCTTAGGCAGGTCACTAAACCTCTCTAGACCTCATTTCCCTGGCTTTTTGTTTTTAAAGAGAAGGCTGGGCTAGTTGACCTCTAAGATCCCTTTGAGTCTCAGGTCTATTATCCTATGAATACTATATCATATTTGGTAAAGGTAGGGCACTAGCAAAAAGTTTCATGACATGGGTAGCAACTGAGCTGAGTTGAAAGGTAGGTGGAGTTTCAGTGGATTAACATAATGAGAAGAGTATTCTAGTAGGAAAGAAGGAGGGGATGGGGCCAGATTGTGGAAGGCCTTAAATGATGGGCTAAGGAAAGAATGTGAGGTTTGTTCGTCAGGCAGCTGGGAGATGCTAGATGCCCTAAAACAGTGGACTGACCCAATCAAAGTGTGGTTTGGAAAAATTAGTGTGTCAGCAATGAGACCCAGGGAGAACAGGACCTGCCCAAGATCATGCATCAATCTATCAATTTTGGAGAATCCACATTGGCATGCTATTGAATCCAGAATAGTAGAAGAATTGGTCAAAGGAGAGAGAGAAAGCATAGAGAGAAAAAATGAGATGGAAGAGGCCAAAACCATAGGGAATGTCTACATTTACAAATTGGGAGACAGAAGCAACATTTAAAAGGATACATAAAATGAGTGATTAGAAAAGTAAGAGTCATACAATGCAGCATCATGTAGGTCACAAAGGAGAAGGTGGTTCCCCTTGTCAAATGCTACACAGTGGTCAGGCAGTACTGAGAATAGGCAATCAAGTTTAGGGAGCAGAAAACTGTTGAAAAGGGTTTTTACTAAGCCAACAAATATTGTAAAACAAGTTTTAATGCAACCTAAAGAACAAAAAAGAACACATTAACATTTGATATTTAAGATAATCTCTAATCATAAAAATCACAAAATCTTCCAGTTAGATGGGGCTTTATGAACCACCTTATCTGGTCTGTTTCATCATTCTTCTCTGGTCATTATGACAGGTCTCCAGTGACCTCAACTGGCCAACACTTTGTTAGTCTTTGTAATAGAATATGAAATGTCTTGAAAGTGAAAGAAGCTGTATTTCTCTTTGAATATTCTACAATTCAGACTTTTTATTAATTCAGCATCACCCTCCCCTCAATGGGCCCAAATTAGTGAGGTTTATCTGTGCTCACCTTATTTTGTAATAGGTCAGAGAACCTCAAACTTGGAAGGAAACTTGAGGCTACCTAGTCCGAAGCTTCTTTACTGTGATTCCTCTATTTCTTGTTCTTGAGGATTTGTGGGGACTGTCCTCCGAGAGGATGATCTTAATGGTTTAAGTATTTTAGCTGTGGCCCTGTCTATATGAGCTGTGATTTTGTTAAACAACTCTGTCTTAATATTTGACTTTGTCCTCACCCATTTGTATGAGTCTTTCCCTTCTATATTTCAAAGAATAAAGTGTATTTTGATAAATAAATGACTAAGAAACAACAACACAGCATTGTAAAGAAAGGGCTCATTTTGGAGTCAAGAAAATCAGTTCAAATTCTGCCTTTGACACAAACTCTGTGCAGGTCACCTGACCTCTCTAAGAACCAGGCAATTTTCTAAGATTTAAAGGTTTAGTTGGGCAATGATCTGGGAGAGTGGAGAGAAATTCCACTCCAATAAAATCCCAGATCCTTGATGTCATATGGCTAAAATTCATCATTTTCAATTCTCTCTTTTCAGTATTCAGGAATAAGAAAGCACTCTTACCACCACCATTTTTCCATCCACCAACTTTCTTTTTATTGTAGTCTCTTTGCCATCCCATTTCTGAACTTGATTCAGTGCTCCTCTGTCTAAGGTTATAGTAGTCTGCAGAGACACAATCACATAATTGGGTTGCTTGGAATTGAGCTGAACAAAGAGACAATTTATCCTATACTGAGTCACTGCCACAGGGTAAGTCACCCAAGACATACTGTTCTTGAGCAAAATGAAGACTTCCCTTTGGATGAATTTCGAAGTAATTAGTATGGACAACAGGAAGGAGACATGATCTTGCTACCTCTCCTCCAGTAAATAAAGGACACAGTAGAAAATAGTTAGCCTCTCACCTTTGTTTTCCTGTTATCAGCTGTGGTTTCTTCAAACTCATGGCCCAGCTTAAAAGAGATTTCTGTATTTTTAAAGGTACTCTCAGTCCGGATGGTTATAATATCACCCTTCATGCTGATGATCACAGTGGGCTTGGCCAAATTTCCCAATTTTCTAGTGGCTAAACCCACCCCTGAAAATCAGACAGGTTAGAATTATACTGTCAGAAATAATACTTGCTCTTTCAAAAGACAAGGCTTGTAATCACATTCTCCTATTTTTTTTTGTGAATGTTTCTGTGATGCTACAGGTGTAGATTGGACATAAATCATAATGTCACCAAGGAAGAAATATTCCTGTCAAAATTTTATCTCCTAAAGGGAAATAATTTCTGTGGATTTTTTCCCTATCCCTTCAGCAAAATACAATTTTCAGGAATGAACTGAGTTTCCAGAAACCTAGCACGTGAAGGGAAGACCAGTCGGCTTCAAAACCCTTACAGATAAAAATAAATACAATTCAGTAGAATAGGTACAGAGCAGTCTAAGTTTTAAAAAATTCTAGACTGTGTTCACATTAATTACTGTTCTTCACTGCACCGAGACAGATTTATACCCTCTGTGGGAATTAAAAGCACCCAAAGAGAGAGAAAAAAATGTGAGTGATAAATAAGTCCAGGTAAAGAAACCAGTGTTAAACCCTGTTGCTTGGATTATGTCATTAATTATTTCATTGATTGAACAACCATTTATTATCTACTGTGTACAAAGCACTGTCTCTAATAAAAAATGTAGAATCAGAAGCACTGAGGCACATGGAGATAGATAAAGCTACCCAAATTCAAAAGACAATCACATGGAAGAGAAGTAGATAGAGTGCTAGGTTTAAAATCAGGCAGACATGAGTTCAAATCCAGCGTCCAACACTTAATAGCTGTGTGAACATGAGGATCTCTGAGTCTGAGTTCTTTTGTGTTTAAAATAGGATAATAATACATATATCACCTACTTCACATGATTATTACAAAGATCAAATGAGATAATTTACAAACCTTGAAGAACTATATGTTACTGTTATTATTATTGATAATTATTACTATGTCTCGTGATATCTAGGGTTATATGGAAGGACAATCAAGAAACTAAAAAATGTTCATTCCTACAGCACACCTGGTATAGATTTTTACTGTAACGCTGTTTGGAACACCATATAAATGTATAACTCATTACTAGGTCATAAAAATCTAAAATTGCAAAACAGCAAAGGTGAGAACAACCAGAATGAAGTTCAAAAGGGCCAGTGGCAAGAATTATTTGGCTGGAGGAAGAGAAGGCTTAATATAGGTTAAGGACCCAGAATGTTAGAGCTGGAAGGGTTTTGAGACATCAACTTTTCTAACCCTCTCATCTCACTGATGATGAAATTGAGATTCAGAGCCACTGAGTGACCAGACCAGATCATACAACTAAATCGTAGAAGTTATTAGAATTAATGAGGTTTTTCAGAAGAGAGACTATAATAAGAGAATAGAAGACTAAGGACTGAATTTGGAGAGAATCACACAGTTAAAGGATAAGAAAAAGAATAAGAATGAGAGCAGATACATTCAGAAACGCTAGAGAACCAGAGTTAGAACTTTTTTTCCTGACTATTTTCTTTTTTTTTTTTAATTTTTTTTTGGGGGGCTAGGTAATGGGGTTAAGTGACTTGCCCAGGGTCACACAGCTAGTAAGCGTTATGTGTCTGAGGCCAGATTTGAACTCAGGTCCTCCTGAATCCAAGGCTGGTGCTCTATCCACTGTGCCACTTAGCTGCCCCCTGACTATTTCTTATACCTCTTCAAGTATCTCTTGCTTTCTGAAAGGAAAGAAGGAAGGAAAGAAAAGGAAAAAAATCATTAATTGCATACTTCCTTCATGCTAAATATCTTGCTAAGCACTGATGATTCAAAGATAAAACAAAGACAGTCCCTGAAGACAACATGTAGGAGAGTAAGGGCCAGAGACGGGGCACTTTAGTCCTTTAAAAAGTTACAGGGATAGTTAGTGGGGACATAGTAGAGCTGCGTCTTGGAAAGGTTGAGTGTAAGACTTTTAGGCAAGTAAATCTTGTTTTCTTATTGATTTCTATTATAAAATTGAAGATGCACAGCCACAGAAAAGGTGATGAGTAAGTAGTTTAGAGGTGGCCCATGCCGTGCCAACAAGGTCACTTTCAAATCCCAGTGACTCTATACCAGTTGGAGTTAATAGCTGACCTCTACATGATAACATTTTTAAGCACTCTGAGACTGTTACAGCTGCTATTCATGACCTTGCCATCAGTGCTCATAATCTCTACCTGTATCAACATTTTGCCCCAGACCAATAGAATGGGTGCCCTCAAGACTTACATAATAAAGCAGGTAAAGCAAAAATTTTCTTTCAGTATTTGTAAAGTTATAATGAAGTGAACAGTGACCAATTGGTTTCCATCTCTAGTATGACTGAAATGAAGCAGATAAACTAAATGATCTTTAGGGCCCCTTTCAGCTGTAAATTTATGATCCTATGAAGCAATTGGGTTTGAGGTTAGAAGTAAACAAACAAACAAAAAACCCTCATAGATTATATGTGTTAGCCACTGCATAATGGATAAAAACCTGATCTTTACTTGTTATTTTATCCCAAGTGAGAAATCTATACATAAGCTTACAGGATAGATAGTCTGCCATTGATTTAGTTTTAACATCCACCCTTAAGGAGAAGATAGACATTAGAGTGAATGAAGACAGATTCACTGCTCCTCTAGTATTCTCTACTCCTATGCCTTCATCTCCATTCTTACTTCCTCTTACCTCTTTCTTGTTCCACTTTGGAATTAGCTAACCAAAGGAAGCCTCAATTTGCTGAGACAATGATGTGAAACTCAGTGGAGGGGACAAAGAAAAGTAGTCTTTGCTAGAGGTTGGTAGTAATCCAGAAGAATTCCCCTATGCAAACAGTTTCAGTACTGAATAAGAGACAGTTGACAAACAAAATCAATCTAACTCAGAGAGTTTATCTACGCCTAGATAAACACCAGACTCTTCAGTGTGGGACCATTCTATACTCTGTTTCCATTTTTTCTCTTCTGGAGTATGTTGGTCCCTAGAAATCCAAGCAACAAATGAGAATACAAGATGAGTAGATTGATGAAGTTTCTAAAAGTCTCCCCTTCATTTTAAGAATTTTGAAATTAAAAAAAGAACGAAGAACCAAATCAAGAAACCACTATACTATGGTTTATGCTTTCCACTTCAACTGCCACCACCCCAAACCCCCCTCCCCCCACATATCCAACTTCTCCCAGAGAATGAGGGGGTAGGTGATTTTACTTTCTCAAGAAGGATCTCCTCAAGCAGAAGTTTTTTTGCAAAATTATTCCTCACCTAGAGCTTTCATGTAATCCTCAAAGTTTTCACTGGAGACCAGTTTCCAGGTACCCACAAATCTGTTACACATGATGCTGGATCTGCTGGGCACTGAATGGTGACCTTAGCAAAAGAAAGTCAGTCACGGCTCTCAGTGAGAGGCAGGATGGCGAGAAATGCCGCAGCTTCAATGGCATCTTTTCAAAGATGCTCTGGACATGTGACTACTACCAGCATCCAATGGGGAAAGGCAGTGTCAGGGCCAGGCAATGAAAGGCCTCCACTTCATAGCATTGCTCATTCATTCATTTGGCACAAAAGAGAATCCCACCCACAATCTCATTTTTCTCTAGAAAAGGGTTTGTACTTTTTTTTTTTAATAAAAAAAAGCCATCTAAGTCCTTAAAAAAAAAGGAAATGAAAAGAAAAAAGAAAAAGAGAAACTTGATTGGGTCTACATTTAAATTCTATTATCTAACCCTTAATAGTTTAGAAAAACCATACTATTCCACAAGTCCAATTCAAGACCAGGGCATGCAATTATTAGTGAGGGAGAGGATAAGTGAAAATCTCTTTGGAGGCATCTCAGGGACACCAGATCCCAACTCTCCACATTCAAGAATTTGATACAAAAGAAGAAGGAGAAAGCTAAGTCCCTAAAATATGCTGTGGTAGAGAAAGGTTAGGAAGTACTATAAGGGTTATTCATTAGTGAAGGAGGGAGTTGTTGACATAACTCACATTTTCTAGGCGGGGAGAGTGGGCAGACAATGGGGGCAGTAAGTATCGTATACCAGCTATGTTCCCATATAGGACAAAGAAACAGGCCTAAGACAGGGTAGAGCTCCCACAAAGATTTTCACCCCAGGGGAATAAGTATTCCTCATTTGTGCATTTGATCACATACTTTTCAGCTTCCTACAGGACTTTGCTTCCTCATTTATATTCTCCACAGACTACTAAATCAGGGGTGAAGGGGAAAATGGGTGAGGCTACTGCTAAGTTTTGAGGTGGATGAAGGGGGTCGTGGGGGCTCACATTGGATGGCTTCAATTTCAAATAGGAATCTGGGTTATTTGCCATGAATATGAGGTGGAGGTGGGTCAATGGTTTGGGGATGTCTAAGTTTTTAGTAAGTGGGGATGATAATAATAATAATGACTAGTATTTATATAACCCTTTAAGGTTTGCAAAGGGTTTACAAGAGAGTGTGAACATCAGGTGAAAAGAACAGTATGAACAAAAGTGCAAGGATAAGAGACTGCTCTGCAGGTTCCCCGCCCCTGGATAAGGTATGCTTGCTGAAAGTAAGTTCAAAGCTTAGAAATAGCATGCTATAATGGAAAAAACCCTGAACTTGGAAGTCAAGAGACCTAAGTACAAATTCCATAAACTTCCTGGGCCATAGTTTTCTCATCTGGAAAATGATCGCATTCTTCTTGATGAATTCCAAGCCTTTCATGAACACTTCCCTGACTATACCATTGGGAAGCCTTTGATCTCCTTTCTCACTCTATAGCACTCAAATAGTAGTAATATCTCCTGCCTCACCTTGGACTGAGAATCACTGTTGGCCAGGGCTGTGGAGTACTTTTGAGATCATTTACAGATGAGCAAACAGAGACCTGGAGACTTGCCCATAATCACATAGCTATTGAGTACAGGAGGAAGAAGGAGTTAGGAAGCACCTGTTCCCACACTATTGCCTGGATTGCCTGGCACCAAATGGGCCAACCAGTAGTACCCTCTCACGAAGGCAATTGGGGAACAGACTCTCTTCCTCTTGTGGGATTCAAGTCCAGTTCTTCTGACTTCATGATCACTGCTCTCTCTCTCTCCTGTTACACTATTCTGTCATTAAACTTTAGGTATCAGCATGTTGGATTCATTCATATTTTATACAATCTCATTCTCCTTTTGGTGAAGTAGTTACTTTCACCTACATTAGGGCACTAAAAAAAAACCCAACCTATAAAAGGAATTTTTTTACTGTTCTCCCATTTCGACTTACAATTTCAATGAAAGTTTTTTCCTATGTAGCTGTTAAGCTGTGGGATTTCATTCTGGAAAAGAGTCCAATGGTCTATTATCTAGTTTGTGGTTATTTGTAACATGCCATCTCTCCTATTGTATTATAATGCTCTTGAGAGCAAAAACTTCCTCTCCAATACAACTATTTGGGTGGAGGGAGAGGAGGGGGAGAGAAAGTGAGCTCCTTGTTTCTGGAGATCTCCAGGTGGAGGATAACTAGGATAAGAGGATTTAGACCTGAAGGGGCCATCCCATTCAACTCCTTGTTTTACTACTAGTCAGGAATTTGGGGGACAGGATTCGTGATTAGGGTATGGATGGGATTAGCTGACCTCTGAGGCCTCTTCCAACTTTAAGGCTCTATGAATACTTCTTTGTATCACCTCACAGGACACAGGATAGTGCTTTGAAAACATGACAGTAGGCAGTCAATTCTGTAATTGTTGAATGAATGAAACAATAGGCCAAAGACTGAAATAAACAGCTAATCCTTTATAGTAAATCAAAGAAAAGTTGCTGACTCTCAGTAAAGGCTTCCACAGAGGTTGGCAATGACTGGGCCATAGACCCATAGAAAGTCCCTCAGTGTAACACATAAGCTAGTTAGGCTAAACACCTAGAAATCACATTTGTTCCAGAAAGCAGTACATTTCTCTGAGATGGAGAATACTAAGTCAATTTTACAATTAAGAATCTTAACCATTAAAAAGAGACCTTTTAATTGAAATTCTGTACTTGGAATTATGTTGGCTTCTTGTGAGTGTTTAAAGTTTAAAGCTGTCATAGCCATTCATGGATGTTAGATGGAAAGAAAAAGAAAATAAAGAGAATTTCAAAAATTTATCTTTCTGTACCAAGGGGTAAAAAGCACTCTTCTTATTTCAGTATGGAATAGTAGAGAGAGAGCAAGTCCTGGGAAAATAACTTGGATTCAAGTCCTAACTCAGACATATCTGGCTACGTCACTTAACCTCTCAGTGACTCCATGAAATACAACTTTCTAAGAATGTAAATGGCAGAACAGTTACTGATCTGAATTGATAGAGGGACTTTGCTCACTTTGGAGTTCCCTAAATGAATTAAATCACAGTCCAGACAGAAGAAAAAAAATCTTTACAATCAAGCAGGATCCAAACATTGTGACTCTACCATGGTCATAACACTTGGACTTGGCTATCAAGATTCCTGACTAAACTTCTAATCTCAAGATGTTGCCTATTTCTTTAGTCTGAAAGTATCTTTTTTCTTTAGAGTTCACTCTTTATGGGCTTGGGCTACCCAGTGAGAAATTGAAGGCATTTTCCCAGTGATTCATAGGAAAATAATGAAGGAACAATAGTCTATGGAAACCAACCTTAATCTTGGCTCTAATTTCAAATGGACCATAATAAATTCCAAAATCTCTTTGAAATGTGACATCATGGGAATTCACCTACTTTAAAAGATCAAGTGATCTGAATCTGACTATTCTAATAGTTTGATAATCTAGATTATCCTGGCAAGTGCCAGGAATGTCAAAGTGAGCTTTATAGAGACCTTGAGGGCTAGAGAGTAAGAAAGCACCACATAATCACAAATATTGGTATTTCAAATGTATTCATGATTTTATTCATGCTTCCATCCCCGCCATGGGTTCAGACTGCCACTCATCCATACATTCTTGTAAGAGGGAGCTACTATAATGTATTGGTTGGGGCAGGGGGCATCAGATGGTCAGATCTACACATCAGGAAAATGACTTTGGCAACTAAGTAGAGGAAAAAATGAAATGAGGGGAGGTGGCGGTGCTTGAGGCCAAGGACCAATTAGGAGACTATTACAATAGTCTCAGAGAAAGGTGATAAAGGCCTGAATTAGAACAGTGGCTATGTGAGAGGAGAGAAATGAAAACATCTGATACATGTTATACAGAAATAAACTTCATGATTTGATAACTGCTTAGATATGTGGGAGGAAAGAGAGTGAGTAGTTGAGGATAATAGCCAAGGTTGTGAACCTTGGTAATTGAAAAGATGACAACGTTCTTGGCTGTCATAGGGAAGTTTGGAAGAAGGCTAGGTGCTATTTTGGACCTGTTGAATTTTAGATGCCTGTAAGAGAATCAGTTGAAAATTTCCAATAAGTAAACTGGTGATGGAGAACTGGGGCTAGATATAAAGACCTGGGAATCATCTTCATAGAGATGATAATTGAAATCATGTGAGCTGATGCAGTCACCAACTGAGAGAAAAGATGGGAAGTCCTAGGACAATCCTTGGGGGACATCCACAATTAAGAGCATAATATGGTTGAGGAGTCAGGAAAGGAGGCTGAAAAAGGCAATTGTTGAATTTTCAGTGTAAGTATTTATTTACACCGTAGAAATTGGCAAATGCTAAAAATTGATTTACTGTTTTGTTGATTATGACTTAAGATAATGTTAGTGAAAATGTTAATACTGCAGATAAAACTTAAAAGTGGGTGGTACATACACGTCGGCATTTACCTTCCCCCCACCCGCAAAGAGCCTATCGTTAAACATTCACCAGAACAATGCGATTTTTATGACACATTTTGCACATATATCAATATTAGTGAGCATACTGGAGCCTACTTACACCCACCATATATTTTCACATTGCTTTGTGTGTAGCTTGCATTTTGATTCATTTGAAATTGTGGTGTTTATTATTCACAGCTATATAGTAAAAGCTAAAGAATATTGGCATTAAAAATGTGTCTTGGCAACAGGAATCAGCTTGGCATCATTGCCAGTGCTACACTAATGCACTGTTGGTGGAACTGTGAATTTGTCCAGCCTTTCTGAAAAGCAGAATTATGTACAAAGGGATTATGTGCAAAAAGTCATTTAACTGTTGCTTACCCTACTAGGGTACATACTGGTAGGCCTATACTCCTAAAGAGATAAAAGGAAGAAGGAAATGACTATTGTATACATAAATAATTACAGCAGCTCTTTTTGCAATGACAGAGAGGAAACTTAGGGGGATGTCCATCAGTTGGGGAATAGACGAGCAAGTTATGGCATATAAATATGATGGAACACTACTGTGTTAAAAGAAATAATGGAGTCATCTTCAGAAAAAGCTGAAAAGACTTGTATGAACTGAAGCAGAGTGAAGTGAGCAGAACCAGGGGGAAAATTTCTAAAATAATAACTGTTGTAAAAGCAAACAACTTTGAAAGATTTAGGAACTCTGATAAA